CCAACACTAATAACTGTGGTCAGTGGTTTTAACTGAAATAGAGAGAAGCAAGAAAACTTTGACAGACTGCAGTGCTTTGGAAGGCTGCAGTAAAAGTTTTTAATAATCTTTATATCAATAATATTAATGAGAATCAGCTAGTGAATAATATCAAGCCTTAGTGTAAGCTTAACTACTAAAATGGATAAATAAATTATTTATTAGCAGAATAAAATTATTACTAGACTAAATAAATTATAATTACAAAAAATACAGCTCAGTGGTATCACTCAGTAGCATATTGTCAGAGGAGAGCTTGAGGGATTAGTATTGACAGTATAGATTATATCAATTAACTTAACAGTTATAATACTTTTTGATTGTGTAGTTCACTTATGCAGTGCATACAAATGTCTTTTGAGTCTCTGATGTTTAAAGACTCTGGCCGCTACTTCGGGAGAAGAGAACCTCGTGTAAACTCACAAAAGTATGAATTTTTGGGCTACCATATCCTTAAAACGAAGATGATTAGAGCAATTCCTCTCATATTAATGAAAGATGAGGCTTTGCTTTATTGTTTTATCTGCCCAGTTGCTCTTTTGCTCACACTATGAAAAAGTTGTCGGGGAACCGACTTACGTTTGGCGACTTTGACAGCTTCTTTTTCCACGGAAAAGAAAAATATAGCATTCCCAAGATGGAGAATAACTTTTTCCGGAGCCAGTGTTGATTATAAGACTCTCCAGGACTAGACAAGAAAGCAGTGTCAGCTCAAAAGTGGAGGCCAAGCGAACACACACACACACAGACAGGACGACTGCTTTACCCTCGCTTCCACGCCTACGCGTGGGCTCGGGTAATGAATGAACGAGAGCACTAAAGTGCATACCCTCGCCACTGCAATGTACATAATTTATTTTAAAATTTTGAAAGTTAAAAAGGGCAATAAGCCCTCCAAAAATTTAGGTATTATTAAAATTGTTTTCTAGTTGTGTTGACAAGATTTGACAAGTTTGCTTATAAAGTAAGTTTTTTGAAAAGGCTATCATGGGTTGTATCAGGATTATCCTACGCTCCTCCCATTATGATTCATAAATAATTAAATAATCTTAATAATTATTATGAGAGGAGGGTAGACGTGAACCATTCATTAATTTTTATTTTTCAATAATCTTATTATGTGTATTTGATTACATGTCAGCCATCATTGTTAATTATATAAATAAAAAAACATTAAAAATGAAAA